TGTTGATCAGGTAGGAGTTATTAGCTTAACTATATGACACTTTAAACGAATTAAACATGCAATTTTATTTAGAAAAATAGTTGTTTTAAATCAAATGTACAACATACACCAGTGACCAGTATTCTGCACTAAGCATCAATTGAAATTTTAATAGTTTAATAGTTTAGGCAATGTGATCTGAGCTGACACATTGCCTTTCAGATCGTGTTCCAGTTAAACTACCCCTGACCTCAAAATGTACAAATCAGTTTATTACAAATTAAACTGCCTCGTCAAAACACCTGCTACATTCTAACCATAGTATTCCTGCTTTTTTTTTTTTTTTTTGGCAAGGGCATTATATTACTGTGATGAATGTAAGAATCCCTGACCTGCACCCATTAACATCATTTCTCTTTTACCCTTCTTCCTTCCACTTTGTTTTAGGATGTTCTGTCCTTGAACACAAGGTAGATTTACTTTAGGTGCCTAGTGTGAGAGATAATCCTGGATTTAGCTCTGAAGTTAGGACCATTTTGAGAGAGTTGGGTGCAGAAAAGAACCCAAAATGACACGTATGCAGGCGAGGGAGGATGACAGAGAAACAATAATTAGCTTTGCTTCACTGGTGAACAAATGAAAAAAAGCTGTTCTGGCAAAATCCAAAGGCTAAAATTAGAATTCAATGCTGTCTTGAAAGCCAAATAAAATTCAAACAACAACATTTAGATCCAAAATGACAAACTACAAACAAGATATTGATGGTAGTTACAGAAACACACTGTTCTTCCAAACAGCAGAACATTCAAGAAGAGACGATGAGGTCCAAGAGAAAATAACACATTTCATTAGCAGAGACAACAAGGCCGAATGGTAAATAATTTGATGTCTTTTACCCAATTATACTTAATACAATCAAAAAGTATTTCAAGTAGAAAACAAAACCCTGTCCTTCATGTTCATTGTTAGTGAAGGTTTTGCCAAGAACTTGTTTCTTTAAGAGATTTGAACGCTCTTAAAAGTACTCATCTCGTTTAAAAGAGTAAAGAGTATACCCCTAGATAAAGTCAAATGCAAACAATTGCCTTTAGTTACTGATAAATTAAGTCCATCTGTGTTTATTCTCACTTTTGTATGAATCGAGATGTTCTGTGAAAGGCCCAGAGATTTGTTACACAACTTTGGTAAACAAACATCTTGCATCAGGGGGGACACAGTTGACATGTTAAAAATATGTCCTCTTCAACTTTTTTGGCCTTCCAAGCAAAGTTTTAATGTGTTACTGAAAACTAGCATTAAATGTATTCATTTCTTTAGGTTTATTTGATAGGGACAGACACACATCAACATAGACAAACTGAACAGAACCACAGTCCCATGTTTGCGTCACAGTGCTTACAGCAACAGCTAATTCCCAACACCTGACCCTAGGTGGGTTTTTCAATCTAAACACACCATTCCACTGTGAAACATGGAACATGGTGGGGACAGAATCATTCTGTAGGAAAACATTTCCTCTAGAGAGAGCTAAAAACAGAAGAATTATTGAAGAAAACCTATTTTGAGCTCAAAATACCTAAGCCTGAAGGTAAAGGCCACCTTCTGGCAAGAGAACAACTTATAACACCCATCCAGATTTACAAAACAATGGTTTAGATCAAACCATTTCCATTTGTTTAAATAGCCAATCAGTCTGGATCTAAAAATACTTAAAGATAAGTGATGAGGCCATTTACGAATGGTTCTGCACAGGACTGACTCTGCTGTTTTATAAGTTAACTAAGCTTTATGTGCTACTTTGTGTTGATCTATTGTATTAAAACCCAAAGCAGAATATTTAATTTTATGGTTGTACTGGCAAAGAAAAAAAAAGAGAAGGATTATGAATGCGGTTGCAAGGCATTGTATCTTTTTAATATTTTGAAATGAATGTTTTATTTGTCAATAAAGGATGTAACTGTGCTCTCACACTGAAGAAGCCTTAAAATGTAACCTCATTACTTGAATAGCCACACCGACCATTGTGATAAAAACTGAAAAAAAGAATAAAATAAAAATAAACACTAATTTTTGAGCCAGAAAGGCAGCTATAGTAAACGACTAGCAGGCAGGTGGCAGACATGTAAATCGCGTGACAAAATGTGTTGTGCTACCACTGAAAACCTTTCTTTATTATACAGAGATTTGTTTCCCACTTTCTTCTGTCTCACACACAGAAATAACTGCACATGCAGCATTGAGTCAAGATGTGACAAACAAGAGCCGTGTGTGCATGTGAGTGTCTGAGTCTCTCTGTGTCTTCCAGCAGATTCTATGTCATTCATGTCACTGAGAATTAGGATTAAGTTGCCTTATTTTACACACCGATCTTACGTAAAAGATTATTACTACTTGAGTGTGAACAGGCAGACAGCACGGCTACCACACCAAGCTGGCACCTCTTCCTGGATTGCTGGCTCCAACAACTGACTGAGCTAATGACCATGATGATTCAGGATGACGCAGTAACTCGACAGCTTAGGTTCTTACTAGATGATTTTATCAAAGTCTAGAACTACACCATAGTTTTTCTTTTGCACCGTCAGGGACATAACCAAAATGGGCACTGGCTTGGAGTTGCAGTTAATTATCATTCAGTTTGTTTATGATGTTAAGTTTATTGACAAAACACGAGTAAGGTATGATTTCATCTATTTCACACAATGAGTAAATGTTAAAGAGTATACAGCTAAAACAATTTAACATTTTCAAAAGATCTGGATGAATGTTTACAAATCATTTAAGAATTTCAATAAATTATGATTCCTTAATGGAAAATATAAACATCTAATGATGCTTGACTCAAGACATTTTTACAATACTGAAAATTAGGAAACAAATAATGGAATGAATATTTTCATTTCAGTAACTTTGGTTTCACACCTGTAGCAAACTAAAAATCAGCTCATCCAATGTAATTTTACATTATTGAACTTAGTGTTAAATGGTAAAGCTTCCAATTTTGAAATTTCAATATATATATATATATATATATATATATATATATATGCATTCATGCTAGAGAAAATAACTAAATACTGTGCAAAGGCTTTAAGGACATTTTTATAGAACCCTGTTTTCCCCTGACAAAAGATGTTCAAAGAGGTTATGTTTAGTTAATGGATATTCAGTTATGTGTCTGGCTCACAACTTGAAGGGCAAAAAACAAATGTCTTTGCTTAGCGAACAGTCTGCATCACAGCAAGACCTGTCTTATTTTATCGTCTATTTTGGGCACCACTGTTTTACAGTCCAACTCTGCTCTGAACTTCTCCACAGCAGGGATGAAGATGGACACATTGTTTAGACACAATTAGTGAACATTTTGAAACCTATGCATGATGTTTTTTTCATTTCACTCCTCTCTGCCATTTTGTGTTGGTTCTATATCTAAAATCCTAGATTTTAGATGTGATATTTGATCACATTTGATCAAATTCAATGATCAAATGTGACAAGTATGGAAAGATTCTAGGGGTATGACTTCCTCATAATACATTGTAAAAACTGGCATGCACATCTTAAAGATCCAGTTCCCCTCTAGGACTTAGGCAAAATCAAACAGTAAACAAACCCTGACTGGCTTGACAAATCGAATTTCACCAAGTTCTTATCTAACTGCATTGCTGAAGAGTATTTTTTATATATATAAAAAACATAAATGCACACTGAATAAAGGAGATATTAATGCAAGTCACATGATGCAGATCACACCCACTTGCTGTGATCATTCATGTTGATGGCTTTGTGTAACGTGAAAAAAAAAAAAAATTAAAAAAAAAATCCTAAATGAACTGCTGCCAGCACAAAAAAGGAAAGCAGGTGGAACACTCAGCCAGAATCTCCAGACAAATTCCTTCATGGTGCGCTCGGCATTCTGCAGGACTCCATGAATTCCACCCTTATCTTGAATGCATGAGGCGTCTAAATGTATGTGCAGACACTGGAGCAAGTGGACTCCACAAAGGGAAATCGATATCCAGCCCCCAATATGTAAATGAGATGTGACTGAAGCAGGCATGCTCCAAGTGAGAAATCCATCTTGTATGAGCTAACCAAATATCCATTCAGAGGGAGCAATTTGACCTCAGACGGGGTAAATTACAGGCTTTCGTACCATATTTTGTAACATTAGATTTACAATGGAACAATGTACAAAAAAGTCATATTTTATTTCAGAATGAAGTAGATTATGTTGACAATATTAGGCTATATATCACTGATGTTTAACACGGAATGGGAAATATCAATAGGAGAAATGCAGATTATTGGGATGTGTGATCAATCAGTGGGGCACGCCAATATGACTCAGCACTGGTTTTTGCAGCTCTCTCCCTCTCTCTCTTCTCTGTCATTGGAAAAAAAAATCATAGCAAGCAACTTATTTTAAGCACTTCTTTTCAACATCCATATTCATTCTACACTGTATGTTTGTGCAATGTGCAATGTAATCTCTGGAGCCCAACGGTCATTCAGTGCCACCGCAGCCATCCAAGTTCCTGCAGGCACCGCAGTAGGTGAAGCCTTTCCAAAGCCCAATGCAGACATTTTTTTTCTTTAATCATTTGATTTCCTCACATAGAAACAGTGCGTATAATTGGACCAATAAGTCACAGGACAATTAGGTCAATCAGCAGGTCTCTCCCACCTCAAAATCTGGGTTTCTAGATCTGTTGCTCAGCAGTGATTTCACATCAGATTAAAGCCGCAGAATCGTCCCTTTAAAAACTGAATGGCACCACAGAACAACCACACGTACACTCCCAAGAACCGAGATCCAGTTCTGTTATGCACGAACAATGCCTCATTTTTTCCCCCCTCCACCTCATCAAAGAGGTTGCGCTCCTTAAAACATTCACTTATTGCCTGATGGTAAGGTTGCCTCAATGTCAGCGTCTCAGGCTTTTTAATTGAGTTGCAAATTGGGTTTTCTGCTGCATCACAACGCTGGCAGCGTTTAAAAGAAGTATGAAATCTTTTACCTGTTCGGCTCGGCGTCCTCCAGTAAAACACCGGTCTGTCCGACTCAGATGCGCCGCAGCCTTTCAGTTACCGTAATATCGGAACTAGGCGTGCCGGTTCCTGTTTACACCAGTTACTACGGTGCTCTGAAGGAGCCTTTCTTGCTAGAAACTACCATAGTGGTTGAATCAAAATATGACTGCATTTTTATTTTTTCGGTACTATGACAAAAACAGAGAGCAAATAGTAACATTTGAATGTAAATGAATACTAGAAAGAGAGCGTCACCTATTCAGCTCCATACACCAATAAAATGTGATAATGCTGACAGTAATCATTTTTATGACCCTGAAAGTGGCACTTCTTGTGTCGTCAATAGTGGAAAAAAGGCGACTGAAGTGTGGCTGTTTGTCTTAAGAAACTTAATGATGATGATGGTAATCAGACTTTTTTATCATGTTGAAATAATACTGACAAAATATAGCAAATCAAAGGACACATGGCAATAAATACATCTATTTTTTTCATACCTTAATTGAGCCCTATATAAAATTAAAACATTAAAGCAACCCATTTAATGCACCGTTAAAATAATGAAAGCAGGCGTTTTATTGACAGTTCTTTCTTTATTGCTTTTTAATATTACCATTTTGACATATGCTCATACAAAACTATTCTGCCGCAATGTTTTTACTATAAATATGGTGACTTAGAGGCGCAGGAAAAAAAATAATAATAAAAAATGGACTATTTGATGCAGTGCAAGTCCATGGCAAAAGGTAAGCTTTTTTTTCAAACTTTGATAGAAGGACGCCCTCTAATGTGTATAAACATAAATAAACATGGTAAAGGCTGATTGAGCCTATATTTTAACAATAAGTCTTTCTACATGAACAGTTACTTGCTTGTTTTTAGTTAGGTCAAATAAGCTAAATATATCCACTGAGGTTATAGTGCACGTTATTTGAGAGGCAATAGCCCCCTCTTGTGGCCAGCAGTGGTTCTCTTTGCTTTTTATTTGAGGGTGATTTATTTTACAGTTGCAGCTAGAGATAACCTTTGTCTTTTTAACCTTTCATCACAAGACTTGGTCTGTCAATCTGAACTCCTAACACAAGCTAGCACTAGAACTAAATGAAACTAAGAGTCCTTCACGGGGAGATTGAAGGATCAATTACATTAAAATGTTCGGACTTGACACGTGACAATATTGTATTTAAACACATTCTCAGATCACTATAAACTTCAAATGGGATATCATTAATGAAAATAAGTAGTTGCCCTTGACATTTGACCAGATTCACGTGTACAAACCAGGAATCAGCCATGTCTGCATTACTAAAGAAAATAGTTAGATGAAACTGAGTTTATGACTCTTAAGGTCATGTACCGAGTCCTTGGTATGAGGTTGGATACATAAATTCATTTAAATTAGAGGGGTGACCTCAGCCATCTGCACTTATCAATTATAAGTGTGCATTATGCATTCAAGACCGAAACACAAGCTGCTTTATGCCAACTGTGGCCCAGAGAGCACTGACTTTGATACATGTTACCTATATCTTAACACTATATCAGCCCACAGTATTTGATGCAACTATCAGCTTTTATGCAATAAATTAAAACATTTTTTAAATGTTGGTAGAATACTTTATATAAAAACATGAAAAAAGTCAGACTTTTGAAAGCAGATATTTACTGTACTGTGTAATTACAGTGGAGATCTAATAAAAACAAACAGCTTGAAATGTACAGAAGGAAGTGCCATATTCTACTATATTCTATAATTATGGGGATTCCTTTCCCCAATTTAATTTTATTATAAAATATTTCTTTGCCTTGTACCTTAGCTGATGCCAGAAATGTTTTCTACAAACTACCTTTCCAGGTATAGCACAATGAAAAAAGGGATATTTGGATCTAGTCATTGCAGGATGTTTGCAGATTTTTATGTACATACTGCATTTGTTCAGTCACATATTTTCAGATTACTGAGATGATGATGGGCTGATGGAGGAACGGTCATATGGACGAATTAGCTGATCGATTAATTAATGACCAGATGGATGATCTATGTGTGTCGTCTTCATAAAAACAACAACATAAAAGTAAGCTGATTGAAGCAACCCATTTTTTAAAAATTCAGCTGTTTCACAAGTAGAGTCGCCAGAAAATAAGTATGCATATTTTTCCATACTCCATCTTTTCTTTTCCATATTAAGACCTCAGAGGTGCTCAAGTCAAATTCCATACTGTTCCAGATTGTCATTAGCAATAATGGGATTCCCTTATTATTGCTCTGACATTTAAACAAAATGCATCTGTTGTGCTTATAAATCCATGAGCAACCTCTGAGAACCAGAAAAGAAACAAGCACATGAATCATGTAATAAAAAAGCAAACCCGCAATGTTTACTAATAGCAATATTTACTGTTTTCATTTTAAAAAAAAATTGCAAAAATTACAGCACATATGAAAAAAAACTTATAAAAACAATCAGATTATATAAATAAATGTGTCTACTTGGGTCTTTAAATCTGTACATTTTAAGAGACATCTTTGAGAATAAATAGCATGTGACAACTATTAACTGCTGCTCTACTTCACAATACAGATAGCTCCCACATTTACATTACAACCCAAAACTGCAGCAATAGCCCCAGATGTCAATTAAAACTGTTGTGGCATCTCACAATACAAAATGACGTTTGCATCAAAGTATTCAGATAAATACATTGAATGAAAAATTAGCAATGACTGTGTCCAGTATCCCTGCAAAGGTTTCCTGTGGACTTGTTTTGGCTTTTGGTCCCTGATGTAAGGAGAGCTGAAAAACAAAGAAAATACTTGAAAAGTGAACTTGGTTGAAAACGATGTGTTGTTTTTCCATAATTAACTATGTTTCAGCTGTTCTATAAAATTACTTTTTTTTTATAGACTTAAATGGCATTATCTCGCGCCAATTACAATATAGCTGTAAAGTAAAATACCCTATAACATAAATATCTGTAAATAGTCAAACTTTAAGTTTCATATTTAAGTACAAATGTATAACAATATAAAATGTCGCCTTACTTACCTATGACGATGTCATCACCGTAAACTCAGCTTCCGCTGGATGCACAGCTCTTGTTCTGTCCATAAGAGGGCAGTGTAGTGCAGGCTGACTGAGTTGGGGACAGTTGGGAGTTGGAAGGCTTTGAAGAGAGGGAAAGGCAGCTGGGTTCTGTCCACCCAGATGGGATTTTCACTTCATCAGATCGCAGAGTCGCTTCCTCATGCTCATCCAGAGGAAAGACTCGGGACTCCCAAGGTGCTTGAGGCTGCAGGAAATACAGAGCAAATAATGTGGTTTTTGTCTGTTTGCTGACAGCCACAAATCTTTTTCGTACAATTTATTAAATGAAATAAACCGAGTATGAATAAATATAATAAACTCATATAAACTAAGTATATAATATACTCGGTTTATTTGAGTATACATACTCATATATATAAGCTATATAATAAATCCACTAAATGCTTTCTCCAGACCGGTCCCTTCACTTAAACAGACGTTAATTCTTTGACGTCTGTTTGATTTCGGTGAAGCTCAGGGTTTCAGTGTTAATCGTGGTTTGTTTTGGTGCTGAAGTGCACAAAACAGAACTGCGGTGATGAGAAAGCTGATTAGAAAAGCCTGGATAAGTAGCAGCTTGTTTCCTCTCCAATCACAGCAAAGAAGAAGAGTGTCCTACAATCAAAGCAGGATCAGGGGAAACAAGTAGAGACAAGTATCTGTGGAGACTCTCAAGAAGCCATCGAGGCTTCCCAGCTCGCCTAAGCCTGTCTGGAAAAGGCTGAGGATATTAGACTCATTACTGCTGATTTATATTCTTGTCCTGTGCCAAAGGGTAAATAACATCTTATCATTGATATGGATATTATAGAAAACACATATCAAGTAATGTTGAGCATTAAAAAGAAAATTAGGAGTTTAAAAACAAACTGCTACTGCAGTCTTATGTGAAACATCAGTAATTTGTTCGTCCAACAGTGGGACAGGTTTGCTCTGCTCACTGATGAATACTGGAATGAATGAAGGACATAATAATCAATTTAACTGTCAGAACAAAGAAAACACACATTAGTAGCAGAACCTGTCTCAACCACTTAAGAAAACAGAATATGCAATCTGAGATTTGTCCTTTCTCAGTGGAATACTGTTATAATATCCATTTTCGTTGAAGATTCGGGACCAGGAGCTTGAGTGAGATCATACCAGCCACTCCTCCACCCGCAGCTGCTCATCAGAATCCAGCTGAGCACAACTCCACTCCACTGAGCTTTCATCTCCTGATGTGCACATCCCGCCCCCACTGCTCGATAGCCTGCTGCCAGATCTGAAGAGGAGAGAGAAGATAAACGTAAGCCATCCACAAGAAGAACATTTTTTCTACACTCGGCTTCCACGCAGATTGTTTGAACGTAAAGACTTGTAAGCGAGTCTGTTTGTGTGCAGTCACGTTGTCGAACGTCTCCAGCACTTCCTCTTTTCCCAGGATGTCCAGCGGCGCTTCTCCTTCTGCTCCAAAGCCTGGTGCCTCCGAGCAAAGACTTCATCACAGAGATCCTCAATCTGTATACGACACAGAATGCACTGGAAGACGAAATCAAGAAATACATCAATATATTTGTGCCAGGAAGATTGAATTTTACCTTCTGATTCTCTTCTCCCGTTTTAGGAGTCAAACCCTGGATGTCGACCACCCGCCACCTAATTAAGAAGTAGAGACTGTGCATTATTGTCATAATTTATATGATCGTTTTATTACTAAATTGTGTGAACAGGGGAAAAGAAACAAACAATTCAAGTCATATGATCAATAAAATGAACACTACATTTAAACTGAACTTGTTTTAAACTCCTTTGACAGCACTCGGGCTGTTTACCTCGGTGTCAGGATATCTTTGTACTGCAGTTTTTCCACTTTAGAAAGAGGAGGAATGACGGGAATGACGATGTCATCAATGTTGTACACTCGGCCTCTGTGGTGTTTGCGAAGAAAGCCCTAAAAAGAAACAAAACATGCTA